TCTTCACAGAATCATAGAATTGTAGGGGTTGGAAGGGACCTCCAGAGATCATCGAGTCCAACCCCCCTGCCAAAGCAGGTTCCCTACAGCAGGTCGCACAGGTAGGCATCCAGGCAGGTCTTGAACATCTCCAGAGAAGGAGACTCCACCACCTCCCTGGGCAGCCTGTTCCAGTGCTCCGTCACCTCACTGTAAAGAAGTTCTTGCGCACATTTGTGCGGAACTTCCTATGCTGCAGTTTCCAGCCGTTTCCCCTTGTCCTGTCTCCACTCACCACTGAAAAGAGTCCGGCCTCGCCATTCTGACCCCCACACCTTAGATATTTATAGACCTGGATCAGGTCCCCTCTCAGTCTTCTTTTCTCAAGGCTGAACAGACCCAGTTCACTCAGCCTTTCCTCATAGGGGAGATGCTCCAGGCCCTTCACCATCTTGGTGGCCCTCCGCTGGACTCTTTCCAAGAGATCCCTGTCTTTTTTGTACTGGGGAGCCCAGAACTGCACGCAGTACTCCAGATGAGGTCTTACCAGGGCAGAGTAGAGGGGGAGGATCACCTCCTTTGACCTGCTGGCCACGCTCTTTTTAATGCACCCCAGTAAGCCATTGGCCTTTTTGGCCACAAGGGCACACTGCTGGCTCATGGCCAACCTGTCATCCACCAGGACACCCAGGTCCCTTTCCGCAGAGCTCCCCTCCAGCAGGTCATCCCCCAACCTGTACTGGTGCATGCAATTATTCCTCCCCAGATGCAAGACTCTACACTTGCTTTTGTTAAACCTCATCCGGTTTTTTTCTGCCCAGCTCTCCAGCCTATCCAGGTCTTGCTGAATGGCAACACAGCCTTCAGGCGTGTCAGCCAATCCTCCCAACTTCGTATCATCAGCAAACTTGCTGAGGGTGGCCATTATCCCCTCATCAGGGTCATTGATGAAGATGTTGAACAAGACCGGACCCAGCACAGACCCCTGAGGAACACCGCTAGTTACAGGCCTCCAACCGGACTCAAGTCTTCTGGGGTAATCAGCTTAGTTTTAGCATCTGAACGTTGTTTGGTTTGTCTCGGCTTTTGTCCTTCAGGAGTAAAATTGATCCATTCTTCAGTCAGAAGCATCCATCAATACAAGGAAGGAGTCTGCCAGGAATTATTTACGTAGTCAAGAGGTCAAAAAAAGGTGTTTGAGCTAGGACAGAGTGATGCCACGGTGACTTAGGTTTTTTCTTTTTTATAACTTCAGATTCTTAGAAGATAGAAAAAATGTTGCTTTTTCATGTTTCATTTTTGATTCATTTGATGAAGACAGTGACCTTCCACCCCTAAGCTGAGGATTTTGCAGTTGTGAAATTCTTCTTCAACTATAATTAGATCTTTGAAAATATGCTACAATTCTCCTGTCTGTTCCCCATCCCCCTTACCCCTGGTTCTAAAGTGATTTTTGCATCCATCCTTAATGGAAAATTCTTAAAATATTTAGCAATGTGGTCCCTCTATTGTCTGTCCCCCAAACAGCTATTTTTGTTCTGGTTTTTCTCTCAGAGCAGTAGGAGTGAACAAGGCTGTAGTGGTCTACAAAAGGGAAAATTGGTTGCCTTTAAGGAATTTATCTTTCAATTTAATCTCGGTACTTGAGGAGCAGAGACACAGCGTTTCATTTGAAGATCGAAGTTTCTTAATTATGTGTGGTGTAGCATTTTCTTTTTGTGCATTTGTTTGAGATTGCTTTGGATGTTTGGATGTTAGGTGTACTCTGTCCTTAAATTAACTCAATAATAGCTTCTTGCAGGGACTCTTCATCTTTTCTGTGCTGCCTAGAGAGAGATCAGAGGATTATAAGTTTCAATTATGGAATAGTTAAGGTGTGAGAATGTACAAGTTAATCACTTACAGAATACCTGCTGGCCTGATTAAGGTTTAGTCAACCAGAGCTAAGCCACAGAAATGGTTTCTCTTACGGAATTTGTCAGCTACCGAGATCTGTGGAACTGCTGAGTGGAGCTGAGATTATTCCTTTAATAAATGATCTGTTTTCACTTGGGCCTCCATGTTGTTGTGAGACATTGAGGAAGGCAGACTTTGGATTCCTGAGCCCTTCTCTACACTTACTGATTTTGGCTACTGTTTGGAAGCGTCCACAGCATGTGCATGTACACAATGGATGCAATATAGGCAAACATTTGAAGAAAGATGAAGGGTGACCTGGAAATGTTCTGTGAGATGTGTCACCTGTGTACACATCTTTAACCCATCTCTTACCCTCTTTGCCAGTGCCTCGGAAAGAAATGTGTGCCCTTCAGCTGAAAGCAGCTGAATGAGAATAGCGTATCCAACAACTTCTGCAACTTCTTCTGTGTCACCTGCTTAGGGGAAAGAGTTTATCGCAGAGCTTTTTTGGACATCTCAGAGGTAAAACTGATTTCAGAGTAGTGCTTCCCTGTAGGACCAGAGATAAAACATCTCCAGGAGCAGTAATCCGTTTCCCTTTGCTGTACGGCATTTAATGTGTATGAGCAACTGTCTGCAAGTTCTGTAATGATTGCTTTTGACAGCCATTCTTTAGTACTGTATTCAGTATTACTATTATTACCTCCCCCTTTTTCTGCAGTGAATCTTAAGGTTTCTTTGCCACCCACTCATGTACCAGATTTCACATCAACTACAGAGAAGAGGAGAACTTTACTCAGCCTCTTGGCAATCATCCCACTTCTGAGCTTTCATTTGCCAGCGATCAGCCCAAAATATATTGCAGAAGTATATGCAAATGAATATTATGCAAATTGTTGTAGGTGCTCTAAGTTGCATTAGGAGACGTGCTTTTCCATGTGGGTGAGCCCCAACATTTGTGTTTTCCTTTAACAACGACAGTGAATTCTGATGGCATGTTTTTGGGTTTTTTTTTCACTTCGCATAAACTTGTATGGGGTGAACATCATAAGAAGAGCAGCTTGGTACCCTGTAAGCCAACAACAACTTCACTGTAATTAGTAGTGTGCATCAGCTATCCAAGAATTAGCAGACCTCAACAAAATGCTCTCCTAGGGGAGCAGTGTTCTTGCATCAGTTTCATCTTAAAAAAAAAAAAAAAAAAAAAAAATGTTATCAATGTAGGAGCTGTCCATACAATTGCTCTCAGTCCAGCAATTTCTAGAGACCACTTCTTGTCTGGCTCACTTATTTCTCTTGGGTCTTCTGAATGGAGATTTCCACTCAGCTTAGAGGATTTCACCTTGATTTCCAGTTCCTGGGGACTCTGTGCCTGAAGAGCCCGCACTGTGCAATATCAATAGTACATGCCTTTTCAACTCCTAAAGGTTTGATAGCAACTGTGAAGTCTGACTGTCAGCAGACTTTGTTGTAGGGAAAACTAAAGCAAGACCTCACATTCTGTGATTACCCAGGATTACTTCAAAGAACTGCGGAAAAATAATGCATTGGCATTATTAAAGAGTATTTGTTTATCTAAGTGGTGGGCAGAATATGATGCTCTTACTGTAATAACTGCCTTGACTCATGGTAGCATCAAGGATTATAAAGCAAAGTCACAGGTGCAGCTGTTTAATTAAACTTTTGTATTTAAAAAGATTCAATACATGAAAAATCTAAAATGTTTGGAAGATAAAATTGCATTTGTTGCACAAACAAATGTTCTGCGTTTTTTGCTTACAAGAGGATGTCTGTAAAATCTGAATAAGGTTCTGGTTTGTTACACAGTTTTGAAACAAGTGGTCTTCTTAGTGAGCTGAAATAAAGTAGTAATTTCTATTTAAATTTTAACTTTTGTAAGGAATGCAGGTATGTTAAAGATTTTGGAGGGTTTGGGCAGAATAAGTTGACTTGCAGTGGGAGTTTTAGTAAATCTGCCCTGGAAAATGCTCCAAGTTTCATGTAAATATTGTAGTTTTACGTAAGTTGTTATAGCAATTAATTATACTAGGCATCCTTGATACACTGCTTCATGATAAAGACAGTGCCCTGGATTCTGCAGGCTTTGAGATATTTTTTTTTTTCCCACAAAACTCAGTTCCCCCCTCAGTTGCTGAACAAAGCAAACTTTGTAGGCTTTATTTTCTTTCCTTCCCCTTTTCCTCCTCCTTCCTCCTACACTTTGGGTGTGTGGGTTTTGATTTGTGATTCTTTTTTTTCCCTCTTTCTACCACTTAGTCTTTGCACTGAAGCATTTGGAGTAGACTGCACTTAACTAATCAATGCTTTTTTAAAGCGCGGTGTTAAAAATCAAATCACAGAGCAGGATGCTAGGCTATTAATCCAATTTACTGTCAGGTAAACCTGAGAAATTGATGCAGTAGTTAGAGACGTCTTCTGTGTGCTCTTTCCCTGAAGTTTCCACCTCCACTGCAACATCAGTAGAATGTTGGGGGAGTAGGTCTACGGGGAGATGCCAAACTCTGTTTCCTGGCAGATGTTTCTTTCTTTCCTTCATCTTTGCTTTGAACAAATTAAGCTGTAACAGGGAAGCTGCTCAAATTCCTGGCCATAACTTCCAAACTGGTGCACCCAATATTGGCAACTTAGGATTTGCTTTTAGTAAAGCCACTGATCTTCATTTGGCGAAATAAGCATTCAGTAAAATACTAATCATTGACTTTCAAGTTTCTGGTTCAGATATGCTGGTTAGTCTGTGGATTGATGTATCTAGTAGTTCACATACACCATACTCGTGGTGTTAGAGTAAAATAATTTTTACCACGGGTAAGAGTACTTCCTAAGAACGTTGGAACAAATTGTTTAAGTTCCTTTGGGAGATATAACATTTATTGCCATGCCCTAGTGTTACATTACTGGAAAGCTGATCGGTTCTTCCAGGTGCTTACTGCAGTTTAGAGCAGATTTGGCTGCTGCTACTGAACTGAACAAATGTGAAGTGCTGAATGTAAACTTGTAGCCTATCATCAGGACATCAAAGACTTCAGGAAGAAAGTGTGTGTTCTTTGCTCCTGTCTTCATCAATTCCTTCTTTATTTTCGTCTTGTGTTTACACAATGTAGGTAAATAGTGCCAGTGATCCTTGGTCAGGCTGGAATATTGGGAAGTCTGGGAACTGGGATAATGGAACCGCTGGAGACAGCTGGGCAACAAAAGCTGAAAGTGCAGCTGGCCAGAGGAACAGTGCTTCGAATAACTGGGATGCAGCAGCAACATTTGGTCATCCACAGGCATATCAAGGACCAGGTGTGCTAATAATGCTCTTACTTTTGAATGAATTAGGGTAGGTGGACAATGGATATAGGAATTACCTGATCTTTTGCAACTGTAGGAAATGAATTGCTTAATAAAAAGTAAGTATAAAAATAAAAACCTTCCAGGTAGGTAATCATCATATCAGTAAATTGAATACTAAAATGATGAAGGTCATTGTTTGGTTTTAAAAATATTAATAAAAATCAGGTCCATAACGATGGGTGCCTCAAACCTGTCTCAAGCCAGAGTGTTGTTCATGGGCAATCTGTTCTTAGACATCTTGTTCAACTTGAATAACTGGAACTTAAACACCCTTGAATTTATGCCTTCAGGTCTGTGAAAACATAGTCTCCAAATCCTTGATTTTAGGAAGATGGTAGCCTTTCAGAATGCTCCTCACCTACTTGTCGGAAGGGACTAAAATAAGAGGAAAAGTTACAACTGGATCTTACTAAGCAATGGTATATGAATATAGAGCGGTGCTGTTTTTTGTAGTATTTTTGCACATCAGCATCTCTCTCTTTTTTTTTCCAATCACTGTTGCCCCAGTGGATTTGTAGTGTAGTGTTTGTTAGGATGTACTTGATGGGGATGATAACTGAGGAAGAATTAAAAAATACAAGATTCAGCTAGCTCTTCAGCATATTTACCTGGTTGATTATTTGTGTATGAGTGCTGAGGAAGGTGCTTCTGCTTTCTAAAGAGAAAGCATGTAACTGTCTTTACCCTTCCTCTCTACTTCAGCAGCTGCTGATGACGATGATTGGGATGATGACTGGGATGACCCGAAATCATCTTCACCATCTTACCTTGGCTACAAGGAAACTGAGTCGTCAGAGGCTGGCGGGTCCCAGCGTGGAAACTCTCGTGCAGCTGCTATGAAGTTACCACTTAACAAGTAATGGAAAATACAGAACAAATGTGTACATATTGAAGAGAACTGGAATTTTTCAAGTAGCGTAGATGTGTTGCAATTAAACCTTCTTGAAATATGCAGTGTAAATAATGTTTTGGGGGTGAAAATGTATGTGGATTAAGTATTGGCTCTATGTGATTTGATAATGTAGATTCAGGAAACCCTGAACGTACATCATAAAACTATTTTTGGAGATGTTATACAAACAAATAATGCCTTTACTAGCTCTTCATTTTTGGACTTACTGTTGGTTAAATTTTTCATGACTAGTCATTCACAGATGGTTGACTTTGTTCATCAGTGGACATTTTGTCCAGTTATGCTGCAGTACCTCTCCATCAGTTTGGCAGCTACTTGTTGCAAACCCATTTTGCATAAAAATAATTTTAAAAGCATTTGCCTGAAAGGTATGTCAAACTTGTAGTGTTTCTGCAAGCAAGTAGTAGATTATAGATATTTGAAGGGCTAAGTATCTTCTTAATTAAAAAAGAGAAGTGCTATTTGCCATTCGTAAAGCCTTTGCGTAAGGATGCTACAGTGATTTTTGTGCATTTTTCTTTCTAATTGGAGGACAAATTATTTTAACTCATGCTTAGAAGTACTTTTTAAATCTGCACTTTGTTGTTCTTTCAGATGATTGAATTCTCATTGTCTGAAACAGCAAAAAGGTGTGCACGTGTGTACATGCATGTGTGCATCTGCAAAGTATAGGCTGCAGTGAATGGCGTGGCAGATGTTAGTTAGTTCATGCCCTACTGTTACATTTGCTCTGGTGGACTGCAGGGCACAAGTAGCTGCATGTCGTGCAAGAAGGAGCCTGTATTACACAGACAAAAGCTGGAGATTAGCAGCCTAAACTTTTCTGTTTTTTTTCAGGGTGAATAGTTGGTAACCCATGTCGTAACTTTTTTCTATTTTTGAGAAATGCTAAGTGTTTTCTTCTGTGCATATTGAAAGGGGATGCAAAGTAAATTTATCACTTTGTTTTGTTTAGATTTCCTGGATTTGCAAAACCTGGAATGGAGCAGTATCTATTGGCAAAGCAGCTAGCAAAACCAAAAGAGAAGATTCCCATAATTGTAAGTTGGAGGTAGATGAGTGGGTGTGACTGTGGTGTGGGTGTGACTTTTGTTTAGTGGGTTGGCTGGATTTTTATTTGGTTATTTTTAGAGAGGAAGTGGGGTGGTGGTTGATTTCTGACTTGTTTTGGGTATTGTTTTTTTTGTTTTGTTTCGTTTTTTAGGTTCTCTCCACTTCTCTTCTTACCCAAGTTAACTTTTAGTCTCAGGGTTGTTAAATATATCTGGGTCAGACACAATTGGTGCTTAATTAGAAATGTCACTGTCATCATGAAACTATACACCACTTAAAGTCATGATGGACTGCATTCCAGAGTCCTGTATCACTGAGGGTTTTTTCAGAGTCAAGTTTTAACTCTTTTCTTCTAAGCATTCTTCTGTTTTCAGAATTATTCTTAATAGTGTTTTTCTTACCTGCATTATTTGTGAATGTGAAAAACAAGCCTTGTTGAAACAGAGAGGGCAGAAAATGTATTACACTCTCTCAGCTTTCTTGATAGTTACTTGAAGTACATTCATGAAGGTTTGCTATATTCAGTCATGATGATGAGTTCATCTGCTGATCTAATAACAGGCTGTTGTAGATCTATACTATTATAGTGAAATATGATGGAGGTAATAATACCTACAACTCACTGCTCCTTAGTTATTTGAAAAAAATGTATGGACATACTTAAATACAACTGTGGTAAATTATATCTAGCTGCAGGAAACCCTGTGTTTCCTGATTCTCAGGCTCACTGAAAGTGTCTGAAACTTTTAAATGAAGAGAATTAGAAGCTCTGTTTTAAAAATATTCTTCATTCATGTAATGGAATGTATTTGTTTCTTTGTTTGTTTCCTTGTTTGCAGCTGGTACAATGTCATGTATTCAATTAAAAACAGTAATATTTGCAATTTCTTACAGATCGGTGATTATGGCCCAATGTGGGTTTATCCTACCTCTACATTTGATTGTGTGGTGGCAGATCCCAAAAAAGGTTCAAAAATGTATGGTCTGAAGAGCTACATTGAGTATCAGCTGACCTGCACTGTAAGTGTATCTGAAACAGGCTCTTCTCTTTCACAAATGTGGGTTATTTTACAGATAAATAAGTTTATTCAAGTTGTTTACAGACTTGTAAGTGATGGTTGACACAGGTTTTCCCCCAAAGAGTAGTTTTGTTATTTCCTAGCATTTTTAGTTCTGCAACTATAGATTCAAGACTACATCATAAGTTTTATTTCAAGTTCCACATATTTACTGGTCACGCTTGTTTCATGTTGCTATCTGTAGATGCCTGTCAAAATTCAGAGTTGTGTTTCTCTTACAGAACACTAATCGATCTGTCAACCACAGATACAAGCACTTTGATTGGTTGTATGAGCGTCTTCTGGTTAAATTTGGATTAGCCATTCCAATCCCATCTCTTCCAGACAAGCAAGTAACAGGTAAATGTTTATTATTTGTTTGTGGACTCATAGGAATCATAGAATCACCGAGGTTGGAAAAGACCTCCAAGATCATCCTTCCCAACTGTCCACTTTCATCAATGTTTCCCACTAAACCACGTCCCTCAGCACATCTAAATGTTTTTTGAGCACTTCAGAGACAGTGACTCCACCACCTCCTTGTGTAGTCCATTCCAGTGCCTGACCACTCTCTCGGAGGAGTATTTCCTAACATCCAACCTGAATCTACCCTGCTGCAACTTGAGGCCGTTCCATCTAATCTTACTGCTAGCTGCACAGGAGAAGAGGCTGACTCCCACCTCACCACAGCCTCCCTTCAGGTAGCTGTAGAGAGTGATAATGTCTCCCCTGAGCCTATTCTTCTCTGGACTGAATAATCCCTTAACACTTGTGCTCCAGACCCCTCACCAGTTTCATTGCCTTTCTCTGAACATGCTCCAGTGCTTCAGTGTCTTTCCTATGGTGAGGGGCTGAAACTGAATGTAGTACTTGAGATGCGGCCTTGCCAGTGGTAAGTACAGAGGGATGATCACTTCCTTGCTATTTCTGATACAAGCCAAGATGCCATTGGCCATCTTGGCTACCTGTGTACACTGCTGGCTCATGTTCAGCCAACTGTGAACCAACACCCCCAGGTCTGTTTCTTCTACACAGTCTTCCAGCCACTCAACCCCATGCCTGTAGCGTTGCCTGAGGTTGTTTTGGCCAAAGTGCAGGATCCTTCATTTGTTCTTGTTGAACTTCATCCCATCGGCCTCAGCCCAGCTATCCAGCCTGTCCAGATCCCTCTGTAGGGCCTTCCTACCCCCCTACTCCCTACCCTTTCCTGCCACCGAGGTCAGGCTGACAGGCCTGTAGTTCCCCCATTCCTCCTTACAACCCTTCTTGTACATGGGAATCCCACTGGCAAGCCTCCAATCCTCTGCAGCCTCTCTAGTTAGTCGGAAGTGTTGAAGGTGGAAAGCAGCTTGGCAAGCACCTCTACCAGTTCCCTCAGCACTCTGTGGTGGATCCCATCTGGCCCCATGGACTTGTGGTAGTCCAGGTGGAGTAGTAGGTCTCTTAACTGTTTCCACCTAAACTGTAGGCAGTTTGTTCTGCTCCCCATCTGAGACTTCCAGGTCAGGGGGTTGAATACCCCAAGGAAAACTGTTCTGACTTCTAAAGGCAGATGTAAAGAAGGCATTGAAAACCTCAGCCTTTTCCTTATCCTCAGGTGATCACATTCCCTGCTGCATCTAGGATGGAGATTCTCGTTAGCCCTCCTCTTACTGTTAATATATTTGTAAAAAAGCTTTTTGTTCTCTTTTACCCCAACAGTCAAGTTGGGTTCAAGCTGGGCTTTTGGCTTTCTAATTTTCTCCCTGTGTATCCTAACAACTTCTTTGTACTCTCCGTGAGTTGCCTGTCCCTTCTTCCACAGAAGACAGATTGTATTTTTCTCCTCAGGGAAAGTTCCTTGTTTATTCACATCACTCTTCTTCCCCACCGGCTCATCTTGAGGCACAGGGGAATAGTCTGCTTCTGCACCTTTAAGACTTCCTTCTTGAGGAGCATCCAGCCTCCCTGGACCCCTTTACCCTTCAGGACTATTCCTTCAGGAATATCATGGGAACTTCCCCTGCCAGAACACTTCAGTCCTCCCTCCAGAAGTCCAAGGTAGCAATTTTGCTGGCCTTCCTCATGTCTTCGGCAAGAATTGAGAATTCACCATTTTGTGGTGACTCTGCTCAAGACAGTTCCGGAAGAGAAATAAAGAGAGAATTTTTGTTCAAGTTTCAGTCATGTCTTACTGCTTGGGTGTTTTTTTCCCCGTTTTCTTTAAAAAAGATATTAAAGAAAAATCTTTCATTAAGTATTTATAGTAAACTATAACTATCTGTAACAAAACACCACCAGTAAAAGCATTGTTTCATATCTCCAGTTTATTTCTCTAGGCCATTGATTTAAAACCAAGACAAAGTGGATTATTTTTTTGTTTGTTTACTTACTGTTATTTCCCTATTATTACAGAAGATATTTGCTGTTGGAGAGAATAGATAGCTAGTTATATTTTGTATTTGCAGACGTATTGCATTTGTATTTGTCTGGAGGAATTGTTTTGAGATCTTTGTTTTAATTTTCTTTTGTATTTGATTGTGAAAGTGTTATGTTGTAGGACCTTTGCTGCAAAGCTCTCAGAGGAAAGGGAGAATTCTCCTACAAGCTATTTTTTGCCTATAAGTAAAATGTTACGGCTATTCCTCCTATTGCTTGATTTCACAATTGTTTTAGAGAGTTTATTTCATTTGTGTAGCACTGTGCTCCAGTCCAGTGCCCATTCGGCTTGACCAAACTCTCCAAAGCCTATGAAAGTCAGTTGTTCTTACTTGAAGGAAAGTGGGATTGCACAACTTAAGTGCTCATGAATTCAGTAACTACAATTGAACGCGCAGTCTGTGCATTTTCACTGGTCTCTTTCTTCCTATCTGCAAGGGCACATGGGTGTTTGTGAGGAAAGGAGTGTAAGCCTGTATAAAATCTGCATATTTCTACTTACGTTTATTCTACATATTTCTACTTACGTTAATTTCTACATACGTTTTCTGGTAAAATTTTTATAAAGGCTTTAGGATAACCAGCCGAAAACAAGTATGCAAAAGCAGGCATGTAGCCAACCATGTGGCTGTGGGCATCAGTAAAAATGCAGCAGTTCAATTGTGTTTGAAGAAAGCTAAGCATTGATGCAAATGCTGGGATAAATGCCGAGGAAACTGAAAAGTGAGGAAGTGACTTCCTCCCCTCCCCTTAGATAGCCTCGTACTTGGAATTCACCAGTGTATTTAGATTAACTTGTGCTTGTGGACTGAAAGGAAACCAGAAGACCTGATGGAGTCGCTAGATTTCATTTTAACTGTATCTTAATACTTAGGACTTTGTCATCTCAATTAAATTTTCCCTGTGGATTTCTGTCTTTTGGAGTCTGTGGGAGAGACTAAATTCTCTCAAGCCACTGCCTCCCCTTCCCCGCTACCCCCCTTCTCTCTTTCGTCTTCCCTCCTCGCCCCCCCAAAAAAGAAAAATATTCCCCCTTTTTTTTTTCTGAAGTGTTACAAGAAACACTGACAAATTGTGCTTATCACTTTCCATATTTGCAATTTATAAATAAATAAAAATCCACTTTTGTCAAGCTGCTGCCACAGTAACTTTATAGTAGAACTATATTGAAACTATACACATTTGTTATCTGGAGGAATCTCTCATTTCTTTCAAATATATCCTATTCAATCTACGTTTAAGATGTCTGTAGTGCATTTTTTAAAAGTTAGATATTATTCTCTTTAGATATAGTTTGTGCTAAAATTAAAATATTCTTATAAACATGCATTACTGAAGCACTACTGATTTAAAAATATATTTTTTTGGTTACTTGGTGCTGTAATCTAACTGACAAAAAAAATCAATTACTGGGTCATATATGCATTATAACCAGTTCATACAGAAGATTTATTGAGACTTCTGTTTTGTCAAACACATTCATTTGCTCACAACCATAAAAATAAAATCTGCTGTTTGAAATCGGACCACTCAAATACATGTGCTTTGTTATTTAGGATATGATGTCCTTGGAAGTAGGTAGTTCATCTTCCTCTAACTTTGTAGAGCCTTGTAGAGCCCTGCCAGGAATTTTGTGGACTGTATCAGAAAAACATATGCATTCCAAGTCCATGCCTAATTTGTCTTGGATCATCTAGCTATCTTAATTTTTCCATCCAAAAGTTTATTAATCTCTTTTTTCCAAAAAGTGATTTGAACTGCGGGTGAGGTTTATGTTCTTATAACTATCTTTAAAAGGAGCAATATCCAGTACTGTGATCTGGAGTTTTTCTGATTAGTTACCTTAATGTTTACTCCATATAAGTTCTGCCTCTATTTAACAACTCGAAAGAAAAATTACAGATTCTGTATGTGGGTATCTAGTGTGTGTTTTTATGTATATGTGTGTGTGTGTGCATATATACGTAAATATAAAAAAGAAAAGCTGATTTCTGAAATGGAAATAAAACAATTACTCTTCACTGTATAACAGGGCGCTTTGAAGAAGAATTTATCAAAATGCGTATGGAGAGGCTGCAAGCTTGGATGACAAGGATGTGTCGCCATCCTATTGTTTCAGAAAGTGAAGTTTTCCAGCAATTTCTCAATTTCCGAGATGAGAAGGTAGGAAATGGCTGGAATTGAGGAGTTGGTTCTCTCCCCCCCACCTTCCCCACACACCCACCGTTCCCCCTTCAAAGTAAGAATTGCACTCCGTAGTCTTCTCATTTGTCTGCCCCCTGTGGGCAGCAGCAAGGATCTGTAACCTGTTGTTACCTTGCTGTAACCTGACAGGTTAAAGTAAGATGTAAAGTTGCTTTTGTGAAGTACTCTATGCCACTCTAACAGATACACTCTTGAAAGTAGCTTTGCTGCCAATCTAAGGCCAGTTTGTGTCCTCCAGCAGGACACCCAAGAAATCATTTGGGGTTTTTCCCTTATCCATCTCTGTCAGGCTTGCTGCAGTCCTCTGATTGGTACTGTCTTGCTAACAGTAGTAACTGTTTTGTTGCAGAACTGGAATGTTTTTCATCCTGTACTATATTTAAAAACAAACAAAAATCCCCAGATATGGTTTTCACTGCAATCAGTTGTAATAGGATTATGCTGTAGCCTGACCCAGTATACCAAGCTTTCTGATTTCCTCCCTATCCCTTCCCTTCATTTACTTATGGGTTTCTTCTGGGGAGATTGATATCTTCACCTTTAGTAAATAATATTTTATTCATGATTGAGCTCAAGCTCTGTTGATAATTTAGATATCAAGTATCTGCTGATGTGGAAGTGAATAGGAATGCTGCTATTTTCACCACATACTCATACTAAATTCACATTGACTCCTCAAAAAGTAAATGATTGTTGCATGTTTTTAAGACCAGGTTGAATAAAGCCCTCAGTAACTAAGGTCACATTTAGAATCATAGAATCATAGAATCATAGAATCACTAAGGTTGGAAAAGACCTAAAAGATCACCCAGTCCAACCGTTCACCTATTCCCAATAGCTCCTACTAAACCATGTCCCTCAACGCAACATCCAGTCTTTCCTTGAACACCCCCAGGGTCGGTGATTCCACCACCTCCCTGGGCAGTCCATTCCAGTGCCTGACCACCCTTTCTGAAAAGTAATACTTCCTCATGTCCAGCCTGAATCTCCTCTGCCGTAGCTTGAAACCATTCCCCCTGGTCCTATCACTAATGACACGAGAGAAGAGGCCGACCCCCAGCTCACTACAACCTCCCTTCAGGAAGTTATAGAGAGCAATAAGGTCTCCCCTGAGCCTCCTCTTCTCCAGGCTGAACATTCCCAGCTCCTTCAGCCTCTCCTCATATGGCCTGTGTTCCAGACCCCTCACCAGCTTTGTTGCCCTTCTTTGAACACGTTCCAGGGCCTCAATATCTTTCTTGCAGTGAGGGGCCCAAAACTGGACACAGTACTCCAGGTGCGGCCTCACTAGTGCTGAATATAGGGGAACAATCACCTCTCTGCTCCTGCTTGCAACACTGTTTCTGATGCAAGCCAGGATGCCATTGGCCTTCTTGGCCACCTGGGCACACTGTCGGCTCATGTTCAGCCGAGCATCAATCAATACCCCCAGGTCCATTTCCTCTACGCAGTCCTCCAGCCACACCGCCCCAAGCCTGTAGCGTCGCCTGGGGTTGTTGTGGCCGAAGTGCAGGACCCGGCATTTGGCCTTGTTGAAACTCATCCCATTGGCTCCAGCCCAGCTCTCCAGCCTGTCCAGATCCCTCTGTAGGGCCTCGCTACCCCCAGGCAGATCCACACTTCCAGCCAATTTGGTGTCATCTGCGAATTTACTGAGGGTGCACTCGATGCCCTCATCGAGGTCATCAATAAAGATATTGAAGAGGACAGGCCCCAGCACCGACCCCTGCGGAACACCACTCACGACCGGTCGCCAGCTGGATTTAACTCCATTCACCACCACTCTCTGTGCCCGGCCCTCCAGCCAGCTCCTTACCCAGCCAAGAGTGTACCCATCCAAGCCTCTGGCTGCCAGCTTCTGCAGGAGAATGCTGTGGGAGACAGTGTCAAAGGCTTTGCTGAAGTCTAGGTAGACCACATCAACAGCCTTTCCTTCATCAAATTAATGATCCTTCCGCAGGTAGGATCATGACCCTTTTTGAGTAGGATGTTGGACTACAGACCCGAACTCTATTCCAACCTGATTATTCTGAAATAAAGGGTTTACTAACATAATAACTGCAGTCCCAATTAAGTGCTATTTGAATGGACAGTGGTGAGTTTTATGATCATGTTAGTTAATCACTGGCTCTTAGAACCTAACTTACAGGCTAATATAAACAGAGCATCTGGAATTTTTTCTTCTGTTTCCACTAAGAGCTCAGTATGACAATTACATAACAGTCTTATGATCACTTTGAGCAGCTTCTGATATCAGCAATATCACATGTGCACATACAGCTGAATATAAATTGCCTTTATACTGCTTTTCAGTAGCATACAAAAGGGCCTTTTTACCACAAAATCTAGAAAACAGAGTGCTCAAGCAAAAATGCCTTCTTTGCTTCAGTGTTTAATGCTAAGATTAGCCCTCAGGAATCCTGGACCCCTCAGGTAAGATAAAGAATCTGGGTAAAGGAGGACTTCCTGTTGTTTGAGGAGAATCTGGTCAGAAGTGACTAGCCAAAATCAAGGCACACAAATCCATGGACCCCAATGGGATGCACCTGCATGTGCTAACAGAAATGGCAGGGGTGATTGCTGAACCACTGTCTATCATCTTTGGAAGGTCTTGGCAAACAGGAGAGGTGCCTGAAGACTGGAGGATAGCTAATGTCACTCCAGTCCTCAAAATGGGCAAGAAGGAGGATCTAGGAAACAATGGACCAGTTAGCATCACCTCCATCCCTGAAAAGGTGATGAAACAACTTGTTCTGGATGCCAACTCTGTGCGGTTGGAAGAGAAGAAGGTTATCAGGAGTAGTCAACGTGGATTCACCAAAGAAAAATCATGCTTGACCAACCACAGTCTTCTATGTTGTCATCACTGGCTGGGTAGATGAGGGGAGAGCATTGTATGTTGTGTACCTTGACTTCAACAAGGCATTTGACGCTATCCCCCACAGCATCCTTGTTATGAGACTTAAAAAATGTGGGATAGATGAGTGGATAGTGAGGTGGATTGAGAACTGGCTGACTAGCAGAACTCAGAGGCTGTCATTAGTGGTGCAGAGTCTGATTGGAGGCCTTTAACTAGTGGTGTTCCCCAGGGTTCGGTGCTGGATCTGGTCTTGTTCAGTATCCTCATCAATGACTTGCATGAGGGGATAGAATCCACCCTCAGCAACTTTGCTGATGATAAAAAGAATTGGCAGATACACTGGCAGCCTGTGTTACCATTCAACAAGACCTGAACAGACTGAAGAATTGGGCAGGAAGGAACCTGATGAGGTTTAACAAGGGCAAGTTTAGAGTCTTGCACCTGGGGAGGAATAGCTGCATGTGTCAGTACAGGCCAGGGGATGACCTGCTGCAGGTGAGCTCTATGGAGAAGGACCTGGAAGTACTGGTGACCAACAGATTGGTAGTGAGCCAGCAGTGTGCCCTTGTGGCCTAGAAGGCCATTGTTATCGTGAGGTGCATTAAAAAGAGCGTGGCCAGCAGATTAAGAGAGAGAATCCTCCCCCTCTGCCTTGGTGTGGCTGCATTTAGACTACTGTATTTAGTTTTTGGCTCCCCAGTTCAAAAAAACCAGGAATCTCCTAGAAGGAGTCCAGTGGAGGGGCACAGAGATGATAAAGGGCCTGGACCATCACCCATATAAGAAAAGGCTGAGTAACCTGGGTCTGTTCAGCCTGGGGAAAAGAAGTCTGGGAGGGGATCTGAGAAATGTTTATAAATACTGAAGGGATGTGGACGGCAAATGGATGAGGCTGGGCTCTTCTTGGTGGTGTGTAGCGATAGGGCAAGGAGTAATGGCCTGAGACTTGAACATAGGAAGTTTGGTGCTAACGTGGAAGAACTTATTTATGGTGAGTGTGACAGAGCACAGGAGCAGGTTGCCCAAAGAGGTTGTGGATACTCCTTCTCTGGAGATATTCAAGACCTGTCTGGATGCCTACCTGTGTGACCTATTGTAGGGAACCTGCTTTAGCAGGGGAGTTGGACTCGATGATCTCTTGAGGTCCTTTCCAACCCCTACAATTCTGTGATTCTGTGATTCGTTTGAAAGATTTTAAGGTGTTGGTGGTCTGTTCTCCTAGATGTTCTCCTTTGTGTGTAAGTGCACGTCCTTAACAGTGGATGAACAACGATGATCAGTTCTTTTTATTTATTTATTTATTTATTTTGGTCTTTCCTCAAGGAGTGGAAAACTGGAAAGCGGAAGGCAGAAAAAGATGAAACTGTAGGAGTCATGATCTTTTCCACAATGGAACCAGAAGCTCCTGACCTTGACATGGTAGAAATGTAAGGTGTTGGTTTGTTTGCTTTAGTATTTTTTGGTTGGTTTGTGTTATGCTTTTTTGTATTTGCATGGGTTTTTTTACAGTAGATATCATAAATCTGAGTAGACAGCATATACTGAGTTAATATAAAAACTAAAATAGTAAACATTTTGGATGCAAAACATTATCCAAATTTCTATTTCAAATTTTTTCAAATTTTACAGTGTAGAAATGTGTACTATGTTTACTATTCTAGTTGTATATTAACTCAGTATATGCTGTTGTTGAATAAACTAGTGGGACAGGACTAGAAGTATTTGTAGGAGCAAAAACAATAGTGTACCTACAAGTGGAAATAGCCCAGTGTGGACTTTATGCAAGTGCTGTGGTACTTTTTAAGGTGCATATAACAACTGTGCTGTGGCAGTTCTGTACTAATCAGAAAGAATGGATGTTCATACATCACTTTCACTTTGAACATGAGGATTTCAAACTTTCTGAAGTGATGTGCTGTAATTGTCCCAGTGGCATAAAAGCCTAAGGAGATGAACCAGGAGAGGGCACATCTGATTATATACCCGTAGGTATATAATTTAAATGCTTGCAAAATCTCATTTGAGATGACAGCTTTTTTTCTGCTGTTTGTATGTGGGCTTTAGGTGTCTGACACAGAGTTCCGTCTTAGGTATCTGAAGATAAGTGGCTTGAAAACTTCTTGATGTACCCAAGAGAGAGCGAGCACTGATATGAACACTTGCGAGAAGCCCATTACTTCTGTAATGTTAGGCAAGACCACCAGTGGGACAGACTGTGTGTAGTGGCATTGCTGTATCACTTCTAAACCCAACCGCATCAGTCCTGTTAATGTTCTTGTGAGAAACCCCTACTGCAAACCGGGCAGCTCCAACAGAGCCTCTGGCTGAGGTGGGCAGCTTGGGTGGTGCTGAGAACTTATCTTTTGGCACTGCAAGGTGACTCTGATGCCTTGGACATGCATACCATCATCAACAAAACAGAGGAGAGCACAGTCTGGCCATTCTTTTTGCAGTCACCTTACCTTTACTGTTGCTGTTTTGCCATCCTGGGGAAGATATGTAGTGTTTTGTCCAATTAATTTCTTAGATCACTTACAGCATTTTAGTTGTTCTAATCAAGATATAGTAGTGATATTAGAGAGGACGACACAACAGTCTTCGTACTGTACTGAGCAGTATGGAGTCAGTTAGACGTCATTTCCTTCTTTAAAACTGTGCAAATTCAGTTTATTCACCTAATTCAACTATGTTATTTCTCAATCTATTTGGCTATGGAGTTGTGATGTATTTTTCTGTTTTTCTTCAAATGTTTTGTGCTCCTTTCAAATAAGATAACTTTGCACTTGAATAAAACATGAAATATTCTTTTTATAGTCTTGAAAGCCATAACTTCTCTAAGTGGACAAATCAGGCTGTTCTGTAGTTCTTGGGTTAAAGTTTTGCAGTGTTCAATAGTTCTTCAGTGAAAAGATGCTATTTGCTGAAACAATTTTGCTAGTAATTTGACGGTTTTTAATTAAAAAAAGTCTGGAACAATTATATTTATTTTGTGAACATGAATTTTGCTGCTCCTGTAACTCTGCCATCTAACTTCCTGTTGGTGTGGCATCCTTCTGTTTGTATTTAGAGCTCTGTGGATGTTTTGTCAAGTTAGAATAATGCATCTCTCTAAATTGCTTTTTGTTTTTGCTTCTTTCATATGTCCCAGAGAACAGAAATGTGACGCAGTGGGTAGGTTCACCAAAGCAATGGATGATGGAGTTAAAGAGCTGCTGACAGTGGGACAAGAGCACTGGAAGAGGTGTACAGGGCGTAAGTGTCTCTTCTGAACTCAACAGTATTTTCATTCTTGTTCTGTTTATTTGTTTCTTTTGTAAGTCAAAGTATAATTTAAAACTAAAGGAAATCCTAAATTATAATGAGAATTATGTGCCTTTCTTGGTGTCTGAAAGGGTGAGTTGTGCAGGTTTTTTCAGTTCTTTTGGTTTTTTGCCCGTAATAAAGTTGTTTGGTCCCCGTCTATAGGCTTAAAAATACTGTGAGTTAAATAATTCCAGTCATACATCTAAATCCTTGTTGCATCTGTTCTTTTTGTCATTCATCTACATTTTAGTGGTGTGGGCAAAGTAGACCTGTCTCTTTGATCAAGTCATAAATTGTTGCACTTTATTAACCTTTTATTTTTGCATGTTAGGAGAGGAGATTTAAACATGAAAAGAGTTCAAAAAAAGAATACTGAGGAACTTGATTATAACTTATTCTTTAGCCCTATTCTTTTTTTCTTTTCTTTTTTCTTTCCTATCTTGTCTCTTCCTTCCTGCAGATATTTAGGGTTGCAGAACTTCACACCAAGTCCCTATGACTGCCTGGGCACTAATTTCCTAGTCCACAGCAGTGTTCAGTGTTTGTGGCCACCACAAGGCAGCTATTAAAGGAAGCAGGTACTACAGCTGAGAATCATAATAAACACTTCAGGGCAGGCTGTAGTGTCTGATACCAAAGACCAGTTATATAATTCTCCTCAAGTCTACTTTTTTTTGTTGTTGTTCTTTCCTTCCCCCCACCCTCCCCAACCCAGATATTGTCCCCAGACTTGGAATGTCTCCTAAGTTTCTCTTCATTGGTATCTAATCTTACATTGCAGTTGAATATCTGAAGCTGACTAGCAGGAATGGGAAGTGTAGGAGCTCAGTCTCTTCTGGTAGTGATTACATTAGCACCTGCAGGATATGGTTTTAAGCTATTTACATTCCTCCACTTGATGAGGAAGGTTTCTTTCCACACATCACTGACGTTCTTGCTGCTAACGTTAAAAATAGTCTAAATCTGAACTCTCTTACCTCACAACTTCAATACTGTAGAGCCCTCATTTCACTAGGGGATCATTACTGGCAATTCTGGGTAAAAAGTAAAGGTCAGGGGAAGAAGGAGAGTCTGTCAGCACAGACTAGAACAATAGCATTGCTTTGCAGACACAGAAGAAAATGATCAAAGCACTGTAGTTAAGGGTTGGCTGTGAGTTGTGCTACAGCAGAAATTCATTATTTTGTTCACTGTTAAAATCTCTCTAAACTTATGACATAAGTGCTTTAGGGATGTAATGATTTGTGTAATCATTTTTTGCAGTGGTCACAGCTTTTAATTACCTTGCATAAACACAAAGTCAGATGTGATTGGCAGTTTTAACTCCTAACTTTTCAGACATTCATACTGAATGGAAAAGGGAGAATAGTAAAATCTGAACTTGAAAAACTGAATAATGTAAATTTCTGTCAGCTCTAGTCTGAACTCCTAATCAGAAGTATTTTTGGCACTTCCTGAGCAATGACTTCTATGCATTCCATTCCATAACATTTAAAAATGACTGACAGTGCAAACATCAGAAACACAAATGGAATGAAGGTGTTCTTTGCTGAAGTTACCACTGGGGAGTCAGGAAAGAGTAAATGGCTGAAAAAAAGTTTTAGTGCTCTGAATGGTACCTGCTCCCTAAGAAACATCAGCTTTCATAAGTTGTCTCATTCCTGAGAAATGATTTTATAGATGATCAATAAAGTAATTGTTTTTTTTTTTTTTGTTTTGGCTACAGAAGGGTCCCTCTGAAAATCCAACTGTATGTAATGCTAGAGCAACCAAAAACTGCTGTGTGCCCTCATGAGCGCAGATATTTGACAACAAAAAGCAAATCTATTTTTTTTTCTGTTCCTTGCTAGTGTAGGTAGTTCATTTAAAACAACAGCAACAAAAATAACTGCTTTCACAGCTCACGTTGCTTTTTAGGCCTCTGGAGTGGTGATACTCAGTTTTAGTAATAAACACATACCCATTAATCTTTTTTTTTTTTTAATTTGTGAGGAAGCAAATTATGCATATATTTTTAGTAAATGGACTCAAGAATTCAGTTTTGTAATTCACATACTTACATCAGCTTTTATTCCTAGATAAGCCTGGTTTCTAGTCTCTTTAAATATCAAATCCATTATTTCAGGAGAGTTCAGGTATTACAGGTCTGTAAGCTAATTTTCTCTTTAAAATATTAGATTTCTGCTCCGTGTCACCTTCCTTATAGAGGAAGGCGAAAAAAATCTCACTGTACACATAAGTTGGAGGACTGAGGTGAAGTGTGCAGTGAAAATTTTATAGCATTTGCGCACTGTTCCCCAGCTGTTTGTGGCCTTCAAAAATCCAAGCTGCAAAGAGCTTTATCCAGTTTCGAAGCTTGTGTAGCGGGTAGAGGGGGTGAGAATGTGATTGTAAATGCTTCACTATTAGCAACAATGTAATACCTCATTGGTTTTGACATCTGCTTCTTTCAAGTTTTGGAAATGTTGCAAATTAAGGTTAAATCTTAAAGATTTTTGCTTCTGTTTCCCTCTTTCCCCATCCCTTTGTCACTTTCAGCACTGCCCAAGGAATACCAGAAGATCGGAAAAGCACTGCAGAGCCTGGCACTGGTCTTCAACACTAGTGGTTACCAAGGTACTTCTGCAGTTTCATTTGTACTTGAGTTAACAAAAGATATTTCAGTTACATTGTGCTATGTTTGGGGTTTGTTTTGCGAAGGTCTTGATTCTTTCCTTTTTGAATTTAGATATCAGTCATGTTTCTGGAAAACTACTAAAACCGTGTTGCTCCATGTTTATTATGGTTGTTTTTTAATCTGCAGTCTTGTTTCTTTCATTCTGGAATCAGGTGCTGGGTTGGTAGTGGTGGAGTTTAGTTTGATCTCAGTAATATATAATCTAATCACTGAGCTAACTGGCAAAACATGCTGTAGCTTTTTTTTTTTTTTTTTTTTTTTTTTTTTTTTTGTGGCCTATATTTCTGTCATATCAGAGGAAAGGGGAGGAAATGGAGCCTTGAAAATATTTCTACAGAACTGTTGTGTGCAACAACAGCTCCACACAAGGATGAAAAACTTACTGCTAGATTTTTGTATGCCATTAACTGTGGTGGGGGGTTGGCTGCTGTAGCCTTTCCCATCCTTTATCCTTCCTTCTTCAAGGGCCCTGAAAAAGAGTTTGTCACACTGGGTATGAAAGTTGTAAGAGAGGAATTGAGAGAATCAATTGCAATTTATTTTTGCAGACTTTTCAAGTTCTCTTTAGTCTGTAAAGTCAAAATTAAATTTCTACTTTAATGTGCTGAATTCATTATCTGGGAAACGTTTCCTCATATCCCAAAGAGAGCTAATGGGATATATTCTTTCTGGAATTCTCAGATTAACTACAATTCTTTTTCTTATATTTTATAGCAAAATTGCTCTGTTCTAAAACCTTAAAGGTTGATGCATAGACACTTCCTGAAGTCTTTCTATTTTAGAACTTTTAATTAACCATTAAGTATTTGGACTATAACCTGTTCCTCAATTTATACTCTGAACACTTTTTTTCCCCAAAAAGCATATATTAAAATGCAGTCCATTTTGAAACTCAGGATCTCCGATGCTGGAAATACTGGAATACTTCTTGTAGTTTGTTCTCATCTTTGTCCTGTACTTGAACAGGATAATTGCTTGTTTACAATTAGAATGTGGTATCTTACTGAAAATGTTACTTTTGTATATGAAAACCAAGCAGAGAATTTGTGTAGCCATGTACACTCAGCATGGGTTAGAAAACAGTAAATCCTACCCAGGTACAATCTGCTGCAAGAATTCTTGTGAAAGGATTGAAATTTGTTTGAACTATAATGCGCGTTCTTTACTGGGATAAAAGAAAAAGAATAATGGCTTGAAGTGAGGATGCAAACTTGTAGATCAGCCTTTCAATTTGGGTGGTATGAAAAAAAAAAGTACACCCCATGATTCTTGAGAACAAGGCAAGGATGTTGCTGTTTGCCCAGCTGCACTGGGTTGCATCCTGGTGTTTTGCAGAGGAAGAATGCCCTTCTCTCTGTTCCCAATCCAAGTATTTTGCTCTTTTAATAGCTGGTACACCAGTTTTTTTTTTTTTTCCTCAGAATTAAGAACATATGGGACTTTTCTTTTTAATTTCCATTTTCAGGAAAAGACAACAAATGCAGTACACACGTTGTTTTATATTGTCTTTACTGCTACCTTCAGTCTGCCATGCCTGCTCTTTGTGTGCGGTTTCATTTGATGGCTGCTTCAGTTAGAGATCTGTGAATTGACTGGGCTCTGTGCAAGAGATAAAAGCTCCTGAATTTAACTGATAGCATGCAGCTTTCATAATCTCAGTATTTAAAGGCAACACTGAACCTATTCCTTCAAACAAAGAAGTATTAGCTGAGTATGGGGTATGATTTTTCTGGATTTTCAATAAAGAAGATTGGTTCCTTTGACCATACTGAAAAGGATTCAGTTTAGTTTCTGTTGGTAGCTGAATCACTTCATCTTTTTCATCCTTACTCAGACACCCAACTCCCCTGTGCTTGTTTACTTCTGATGATAAATTCTGGAAGTTTAATTGTGTAGACCAGTGAAGATGGCAGTTTTGTTACATGAGCATTTCCAGCTACTGGTAGCTGACTTCTAGCAACATATCTGGTATGTCAGTTCATTTGCAGTTTGTCTGGGACAAATCTACTGTCCTTAACTCTTTCTTCAGAGCTTAACTCAGTCTTAACTCTTGTCCTTAACTGTGCAGAGCCTTACATTGAATGTCCACTTCCTTCTCTCCTAACTTCAGTCTGAAATGTTTAAGATAGCACCATTCAAGATACGTGTGTTAAGCTGATTCACTCAAGCTGTTTTTCTTATGCTGCAAAATGAGCCTTATCAATTCATTCCCACCACAGGGCATACAAGGAATTTGGCTCCAGTATTTGCAGAGGCGAGGGTACTTCAAAAACTATTAATGATACATTGAAGGGTTTTCCTGTAACTTGGCCAAGGGCCTCTGTACTATCCAATCCATTTTAGGAACAAGTGCTTTGAAAGTATGATTTTAGTCCAGAAATATATATTGGAAAGTTCCAGAATATGTCTGCAAGTGTCTTTCAGTCTGGCACTGAATTGCCTGTCTCATTGCATTATGTGATGATCTGCAGCTAATGCAGCCTAAAATACTACAGCTTCTCTTATGTGGTTTCAAATGCTATGCTATGCCATTCCGCTGTAGTGAAATTTCCCAATCCTACATCACCCCTCAAGAATTTTCTTAGGTAGTTGCATGTAAGCTTCACAGTTGCACCAGTTAGCCGCAGGGATATCTTGTCTTCCAGGCTGCTTGAGTGCTGAACGTGGCAAGTGTCAGAAGTACTTTGCACCAAAAAAAGTCTTGCTACATGTTGTTTCTTAGTACATCAGTCTTGATCTTTTTTCTACTCTTGGAAACGTACTTTGAGGGGGAAAAAAAATTACTTCTTGACAAAAATTAAAGAAAAAAATTCTGTTCTAATCACATCTTATGAAATATTTGTTCCTTCAGCATGGCTGGTGTATTCCCTCTGAGGTGATTACTATTGGCATCTACCAACCAGCTAAACTCCTGAGAGATACTCTGCTGAACGTTTCCATAAGACTCCTCATGCTTTTACATCTTCCTTCGTCTCCCTGTAACAGCATGCAGGCAGGCCTGTGAAGCAGTGAAAATATCAGTTTCTCCTCATGACTGTGTTAAAATATCTGTAGAGTACTACTGGACTTTTTAATTGGTCTTTCTACATGCATCTTTAATCAAAACTTTGAAGGCCTTTCTGTTTCTTTTGGGAATACGGTGATTAAAACTACTTTAGTTTTGTTGTAGATGCCAGCAGGTATATCTTTGAACTGGGACCTGGTTCAGCCTTCATGGCTCCAGTTGAGCTACCCACTCCCAGCTTAGCATCTTGCACAACTCTTGAGCAGCTGAGAATGTTAAAAAGGTGGACTTGTCCAAGTAAAAAGACTCTTACCGAAACCCACGCTTACAGCAGTTAATGGCAGGAATGTGCTGGTGGAATTTGAGTTGCTCTGATGTGTGAGCATGTGAATTGCAAGCAGTAACTTCAGAAAGCTAGCTTGGTCTGGGCACTGACTGATGGAGCATGACCTGACTCTGCTGATATGTATTTTAACTTGAAGAGTGCAGCAAGTGGCAGATGAAATCTGACTCTTTAAGACTGCTGTAGCATGGCCTGAGAAAGAGATTGCAGAAAATAAGAATGCAATGTGAGGAGCTGCAGATACTATTCTGCTTCTCATCTAACTGTCTGTTATTGTGATCCGCTGTCTGGTACAACTCTTACCTGCATCATTAAGGGTGCGCTTCCATAGCAGAGTGAATGCCTGTTAATCCTGTTCTTGCTAGAAGCAGCAGACTCTGTGCTCCACTGCCCCCACATGAAAAAGCATGTATTTGGAGGGCTTATTTGCATCTCCAGTATATGGAAGTCCCTTAGGTGAGTTCTGCACAGAAGCAGGGAGGTTTTCTTTTTACTTGAATGCTTGTAGCCTTTTTTATACACAGACAGGAAAGGTCATTTTCTTTCTATGAAATTACAAAATGAACAGCCAATATCTAGACCAACCTGGCTTCTGAACTGAATAAAAATCACGAGATGTTTTGTCCTAGAAATCTAGCAGTTGCCTCAGCAACAGTTAAGCTAAACTCAAGGTTACTTTTCAACAGACCTATGGAATTCCAAAGTAGTGAAATCACTTTCCTCCCTGAGGAACTGATCTCTCTGATTTTATTTTTTTTTATTTTTTTAATAGTTTAATAGGAAGAAGATAACTTTTAAATTACATACCTTTTTGGTCTCTCAATGGCATTATTGTTGTTTTTATCTTTATTTTATCATAACGGGCTTAAACAGGGGAAAAACAGCTGTTTTTTTAACCATGTTTGTATGGCTGGACTTACTAGCACTTAAGATCAGCCTTCTGTCAGAGCTTTTGCCATCATAAAACTAGTCTAATGGAATGTAAGAATTGACTGATAGACCTTAAGCAACATTTAGTCATTACCCTGTTTCCTTTAGGACATGCTGAAATGAAAGAGTGCTGTGTGACATAAAATAATTTGTTAAATGTCTATAGAAGAAACTATTTGAATGTTGGAATCAATCACTAATGAAATCGACATTTGGTAATTTTCAGTTAAGTCAATGATTAATGTTCTACAGCATAAAAACAAAATGTTCTTTAAAGGCTGTTAACTGCTGCCTGGTGTCAAGGTGTGTCTGAAAGGATAACATTTTCATAAGCTAATATTTGATAACCGCAAATTAAACTTTCCACCTTCTCTACCTTGATTTGCTTTCCATACTGTTGACTGAGTGCGTTGGACAAGGTAACAAGGACAAAAAAAAACACACCAAAAAACAGTGTTTTGGGAAGGCAAAGTGGCATGAAAAAACAAGAGTGTAAGGCTTGTTTCTATCTTTGTCTCACATAGTCATGCGCTGCTAGTAATACAATGTTAGGAGTGCTTGTGGTGTTGCCTAGCTTAGGATTTGTGGTGATGTTAGTATTTTTCCATGTAGCTTCTGCAGCCTTTTATTTGTTTCATGTGATGATGAAGGTTAGAAGCTCATTCTCAAAAGCAGAGATTCTTACTCAGCTTGAAAATATGATAGAAGAGTTCCCTAAAAGCTGAGAAAGCTTGTTGGCAATGAGAAAATGTTAGTAGGGCCTCTTTTTGCCCCTTATGCCTTTTAATAATTACGATCCTGGACTGCTGGAGATTTTAAGGGTAGCATCACTGTTCCATAGGGCATTATGGAGAAAGTGCTGCTTGTCAGGAATGAAAATAATTTGTTAAAAAAACAGACCTTCAGATCTCTCTTGAGCACTGTTGGTTTATCTCCTAGCATCACCCTCTTTGTTCTCCCTTCCTTCCTTCTTACTTTAGTAGGCTTCCTGGTGCTCCCTGTGTGGGAGTACCTGTATATCTAAATAACATATAATTTTGAAGTGTGGAAATGAATGGTGCTGATATGGTAGAACAGTATATGAATGGTCCCTCCAGTATTCATTCTGTACAAGGTCTTCATAGTTTTCCTTCTTTAATGGTATAAAACCAATATTTTTCCAACCTTTCTATTATTTTGGGTTATGAAATGATGAGTAGGCTTGTGTAATTTTAAAAGAGTGTATTTCAGAAACTTGTCTTGAATCAAGATGTGGCTGTTTGTAATTTAAACACTGGTGTTTACTTTTAGGGGAATCTGATCTCAATGAAGCAATAACAGAAGCAGGAAAAACCTATGAAGAAATCGCCAGCCTTGTAGCAGATCAGGTAGAAGCATTGTGACACACATTGCTCACACTGACATAGCATGTATAAATACATCACCTATGTGGATGTGACTATTCTTTCTCCTTTTCTCATATTAAAATGTAACAAATGCTAATGATGCAGACCACTTAAGTGAAACTGCTATTAATACTTTTAAGTGCACCCTCACAGGCTGAGAGAGCTGGGGCTATTCAGTCTGGAGAAGGAGCTGTGGAGAAAAGAGAGCAGCCTTTTGGTATCTGAAGGGCAGCTGTAAGAAAGAAGGGGACAGACTGTTTAGTAAGGTCTCTTGTGATAGGACAAGGGAAAGTGGTTTCAAACTAAAAGAGGGGAGATTTAGATGGGAAATAAGGAAAAAGTTTTTTTTTTCCCCAATAAGGATCATGAGGCACTGAAAAAGGATGCCCAGAGGCGGATGCCCCATCCCTGAAGACACTCGAGGTCAGGCTGGACTAGGCTCTGAGTAACCTGATGTAGGTGTCCCTGTTCACTGCAGGGGAGTTGGACTAGATGGCCTTTAAGGGTACTTTCCAACTCAAATGATTCTATGATTCTATGTCAGTTTGGAAAGGAAGCAATAAGAAGGTATTTCTCTTGGAACAGAAAGCCATTTTGGCTTCTAAAACGCTAAAATGATTACTTTATCTTAACATGTATTTGTTTCTTGATGTTCATTAAACAACAGAATGAGATTTAATCAAGGATAGGATTCCATCTTATCCTATATTCCCCAGATGTCTACAAGATCCAAATCTTCCTACTTTTCATTATGCCTTGATGTGCAATTGCCTGCTGCAGTGCAATTGTCTGCTACGGTAACAATCTAGTTTAAATAAATCCAGATTTTATATTGGTATTCAAGCTATAAATCAGTGTTTGCAGAGTGTTTAAGATTCATTTCCAAAATATAGAGCCTAATTTGAAGGCTGAATCTGGAAGCTCTTACACAGCCTCACAATTAAGCAACTAAGGAGATGCACCTGTATAGGTACACATATAGCAATGGGGTTGTTGCTTGAAATTGCAGTTGCTAGGACTAGAAAACCCTGTGAGAATTTGGGGGAAAGCACTCACTTCATAGGCCAGTGTTAAGGAGAACAAAGAACTGAGGCTTCTTGTTATTGGTGCTCAAAAGCTTACATTTTAATAAAGACCTGTTTAAATTTGGAAAAACTTGCAACAAGCAATTAAGCTTTTCACTTACTTTTCTCTAGTCTTCCCTTTCTTCCCCAACCCATTTATTGGCTTCATTATTTCTTTACTGTGTCTGTGATATTAATGTCTCAGGTAGTTTTAACAATGCATACGCTTTATTTATTAGCCAAAGAAAGATCTGCACTTCCTGATGGAAACAAATCATGAGTATAAGGGATTTCTTGGTTGCTTCCCTGACATCATAGGAGCTCATAAGGTACGTGAGGGACATTTACTCACAGGAGTTGGGCAGTGGGAAGACCTGCGTGGGGAAGAACAAATGTTATTCCAACAACATAAACAGGGTTTTTTGAATATTGTTTGGCATGAAAAGGAAAGTGCAGTCTAAATCCATTGTTAAGGAGGAAGCATTTCTTTTTACCGTTCCTGCTTGTGACTTGAGGGTTTTCTTGAATCATGTTATATTGCAGTGAATTGTAGTCTCTTGGAAAACAGTGTTTGTCTTCTGAATATTGCATAACATGTGGGTAAGGTTCTACAGGCATTTGGTAGTTTGAAGTTTTTGGTGTCTCCTATGTTATTCTGCTGAATTTTGGAACCTGATCCTTTTGTCTCCTCTGTGTGTATTTTTGCTTATTACTGCCTTTACCAAACTCAATTTCTTGGTTACCATGTTCCTGCCTGTGTTCTAAGTCGCATCTTGCAAGCAGTGGAGCAAAATAACAAACCTATCAGTCATTCTGTGTATATATTGTGCAACATCAAAATGTGGCTAGTGGAATTGTAGATGACTGTGAAGACCTTTAAGTTGGCTACTTGTTTAATCTTTCTTCGTTTGCTTTCTACAGGGAGCAATAGAAAGAGTGAAGGAAAGTGACAAGTTAGTTGCAACCAGTAAAATAACACCACAGGACAAACAGAATATGGTGAAACGTGTGAGCACAATGGCTTATGCACTACAAGGTAAAACAAATTTGGAGCTAAATGGCAATATTGTAGAGCTGAAGGATTTTTAAGTAAGAAAATCTTGGCAAAGAATCTTTATTCTACCAGAAATTGTTGTTACCTATTTGTTTTCCTAGAATTACAGCTGCTTTTCTGCCTCACTTTTTTGTTTTTCTTCTTTTGTTTGCTTTTAATTGCATTTCCAAAATGTGTATTTTCTGTGGTAGCAATATGACATTTGAAATAAGAGCATCCCAGAGTATTAATTCTTTCGTTTTGAAATCATAGTGAGTCTCAAAATAAAGCCATGGGCCTTGGTGCAGGAAGCAGTTGAGAACATGTATGTGTTTTTCCGACTCAGAGTTTAATCAGGCACGATCCAGTTGAGTGTCATGTTCTTGTAGATAAGACTTAATTTCCTGGATGTTCTTCAAACTTTTTTAGGTTAGAGATGTTGGAAATAGGAGATGTAATACACTGCACCTTAAAAAAAAAAAAAAAAAAAAAAAAGGGGAATTGAGGAGTCAGAGTTCAGGCCTGCACATTACTAGACTCTAAAGTGCATCCTGATACTGCCCTCAATGTGGTTACTCATTGCTGAGTGTTTTAGCTTCTTCTAGCTGACTTGAAGCTAAGAGTACTTGGTAGTTTACAGGGAGAAGGCAATGCAGCACACAGAGCCAATTAAAGAACAAAAATCTCCTCCCTTCCTTCTCTCATCGTTTCTTCCTGGATGCAGTGATGTAAAAGTATTGTTCTGTTCAAGTGGTAATCCGTGGGAATCATGGGAAAAGACCTTGACGATGGCTGTTGCAGTTTCAAATGTTTTTTCTCCCTCTATTGATAGCTCAAAATACATATCACTTATTTCAGCTATAAGCTGTGATCTGACAAAAGATGCAGAAATTGGTGAAAGGAATGGCTTCAGTGATGCAGTTTCTCAGATTCCTTCTGAAATGGTCAAGAATGGGTCAAACTACTGGCTGTATCTTTGTTTTATCTAAATGTTTACAGCTGTGCCTGAACTTATTTGTACCCTTGGAAGTCTGAATTCCCAAGCCAAATATGTTTGAAAAACTTCCCAATAGGACAGTTAACCTCAGTAAGACAAAATCCTGTTTGTTTTCCTTATCAAATCTTTGTACCCCTGAGTATTGTAACAAGAACCTGGCTTTACCCAGAAAGCATTGGTGCTTCAGCAGTGAGTATTTGACACCCTACCAATTGTGTGTATAGTTCCATCATAACTTCAGCACTGCAGGCTAAACAGATTGTGGGCACGTGAATAGGAAATACACTGGCAGGGCTGGACACTGAGCTTGTTGCACAGTAACTAACCTGAAGTAAGGGAAACCTTTCCTAACTATGAGCACTTCTCTTGAATGATTTGCATCCCGGATCTGATTGCAGCTGAGATGAATCACTTCCACAGTAACCGGATTTATGACTACAACAGTGTCATTCGTCTTTATTTGGAGCAGCAGGCACAGTTTTATGAAACGGTAAGATGCAGTATTTTGGTGCCATTTTCCTGGCACGTACTGTACTGAACTTTTATGAGAAATACTCACTATGTTTAGTCATCTTTCTGTATGAACCTCTCCCAGTACGATATTTGGAAAAGAATTGTAAAAGGGAGGGGGGTGAAGCCCCCATGAAAGAAGAATGAGTGACATTTCCGTACAGATGCTATTCCTGTGTGCGTGGCTATGTGATATTAGACCTAAAATACCGTGGTGAAAAACTTTATTGGTGCTAATTGATAGCTTGGTTTTTCTAGTTGTCAGTTTCGTTTGGTTTTCTCAGTGCCGCTACTGAGGTTACAAAGAACTTGTTTTAGATTCGTGCACGCAGATATTACCAAACAGTCCTGAAAAATGCTGTAAAGAAGACCTCCTGCAACAAATTCAACAACAGCAAATAAATAAATAAATAAATAAAACCATTTGAATGAAACTTTTGTCCCATAGTGTGGAAGGACAGAGGGAAGCTTCTCTGATTTACAGTCTGATGTATAGGCGTGTGGGGTGGCAAATCAGTGATTTGGTGACTTATCTAATATGTCCTCATTTAACGTTGCTCTTATCCATGTTATTCTTTCTAGTTTATGAAATGCAACTTGAGAAGAATTTTTCTCATCTGATGTGTTGGTAAAATGTCTGAGTATGCTAGAAGCTGGCTAGACTTAAAGGGGTAATTAGTAACTGGTTGCGCTTCGTGTAGCAAGAAGTGGCACTTCAGTGGATATCTTCAGTTGCTGAAAATACCAGATCCCCTATTAGGTCACCTTGCTCAGTTCTTCTGGCTTGTCTGATGCAGCCAGGCGCATATATTTCCCTTAAATTCCTTCTATCTTTTGTCCCAGTTCTTAACCTCTTCTGGTTGCAGCCTTGACAGTCTCCTTGTACTGAACTTCCTCTTTCACTCAGCACAGGGACCAGATCTGTGTTCACATGTAGGGTGCTGGCTATCATGGGAGCTGTGGAAAGAGCCCAGGAACTCTGTTCTGATGTGTAGCCTGTTCCAGGAGATAGATTTCATGAAAAGCTTGGTTTTGTTCATGTAGTCCCCCTGAATTATGGATATCAGAACATCATTGATACATTGGTAGCTAGACCTTCCAAGTAGCTATAGCTCCACTATATGTAAGGCTTATGGCATAACCAAGCTTGTGTAATCTCACATGGGAGGAAAAGACACCTCTCCAGAAAGAATTATTGCTTCTTTCTTCCAGCCAACTGCAAGTCAGATCCAAAGCAAGCAGAAGGGTGACAGTAGTGGAGCAAAGCAGCCCCCCTTGTCTCCTTAGAAATGGCTGACAAGCCTCTAGCATAACATCAGTCTATGTTCAGATGTCCAGTAGAGAGAACTTTTGGCCAAATAGTTGCACTTCCTGAAAGTCATGCTTGATTCAATGGCTTTTACAGTGCATAGTGCATTGCTGGAGAACCTAACAGGCATGGTGACAGCACTGCCCATGGTACTGTCAGGTGAAAGTACAAAATGAGCAAGGCAAGAAGTATATGTGTGAGCACAAGCGTCTCTATAACTGAATGCTTTTCAAGCCCTATGTGTACAAACCAACGCAGTTGTGCTTTCTGAGCATCACAGAATTTGACCTTTGAGTGGCAGGAAGGTTTGTTGCTTATTGTGATGCTGGTTTTTTTTTCCTTTTTTGTCAGGAGTTAGTATGAAAAGTGAGCTTTCTCTGATCTGCTTGTAGCAGGCCAAGCAATTGGCATTCGCTATTGCTTTCAGAATGCATGAAAAAGGATAAGGCTGATTACAACAGAGAGAACTCTATGTGATTTGAATTTGGGGTGGACCTGTGTGGAGTCAGGCTTTGAACTCAGTGACCCTTGTGGGTCCTTTCCAGCTTGGGATATTCTGTGATTCTATGATTAACAGGATGTGTACTTCCTGTGTCTCAGCATGTAGAAAAAAAACAAGCCACAGAGAATTAATGCATGTATGTAATAACCTTTTGTAATAGCTCCTGAAGTGTAAGGTGAGCCTATATTATACTTAGCAAAAAGTCTAGCTCTGTTATACTGCAGTAACAGACTATCTGAATATTACGATGACATGAAGAGGGATGTAGCTTACAAACTCAGTGAGGCTTGGAGGAGAAAAAAACAAAGCAAAATTACTGCTTTGTTTTTTCTCATACCTGAGTGCACCTGGGATTTTGAACTTAGAATATTTGCAGTCAAATAAACGAAGTCAGTGATCCTCTTTGTGAGGGAGAGTTGGATTGCTGGAGGCTAAGGAGCATGAGGGATTACTGGTGGCTTATATCAAAGCCAGGAACAATTTCCAGCCATTAATAGCCACATTTATTGATTACATATTTCTGCTGACTGCCTTCCAAGGCCGAGGCCGTTCATTACTGCTGTGTAAACAGTACTTTTGTTTCTGATAGTGCTGACATAGTCTTTTTCAGGAGAAGGCGACAACAAAAAGTTGGGATACGTGGACTGCACGGAACTCCCTTAAATACTGTGATGTATTTGTGGTGTTAAGAGAGCAGCTGAACAGTGTTGACAGTCTTGTACTTGTTGGGGGGTACTGAGGAAAGAAAGCAATTTTTGAAAGATGAGGGAACACTTTGTTTAATTTCTTGCCTGCCTGCACTGTTATTTCTGCATAGTGTAAAGTGCCTGCCTAGTAAGTATGTTCTGTCTTTTTGTTTCAGATTGCACAGAAGCTGAGGCAGGCACTCAGCCGCTTTCCTGTGATGTAGAGAATAAGGAGTACTCAACGACGAAGAACCACCTTGAAGTGCTTTTCTGATCTGGGGGCAATGCCAATAAAAACTTGTTAGCCTTTGCCAGCCAAAAAACGAATCAGTTATGGGGAAAAAAAAAAAAAGAAGAATTATATAAAATGTTTACTTTATCAGCCTGAATCCAGAAGATAATGTTCTTTTTTTTTTATCTTGGATGCTCTCCCCTTTGTGTCATTATTTAAGCAAAAACAGCTAGATAATGCTGTCGGTTGTAGGGTTCTAAATCATCAAACTGGTATGTTGCCATGGACCTTATGCAGACTTGCATCTATCAGATGCTATTCCAAAAATTCTTTGTCAGCATCAGAATTACAATTTTTGTAAGTGAGGAAGCGGGTGAGCTTGGGAAAATGATTTCCTACTCATTATACTCAGTTCTCCAGCAATTCAGTAGCCAGAAGGGATTGTACTTGTGACTGTTTCTAGTATATGTTGATGATTATCGGCTGAGCAAACACTTGTTCTAAGTTTTGCTTCCCACACGTGGCCATGGCATACCGCTCCCACTGTGACTTCTGGTAAATATAATTCACTCTTCTTTCTTCTTTTCTTTGTAACTAAACCTTATTCTTGTGGCACAACACCTCAGAGCTTCTGTCAGGCTCTTTCTTTCTCGCTATGCACTGTGTAAAAAGACAAAGTACAAACAAGGAAAGAGCCATTCAGGAAGGTGTGAAAAACAGTTTTCCATGCCAGCATTTTGACACCCACACAGTGTTAGGCCATAGGGCACTGGTGTTCCTCAGAGCTGTACCTCTTTGAGAGTTTTAAGCCTTTCGGTAAAGGGGACCCTCACGTCTTCACAAACTGATATAAGTCCTCCAGTTCTGGCAGAGCTCAGGTCTTCATGTTGCAGTATGGTGTGCTGTTGGCTTGGGTTTACTTTCTGTTACCTTCTAATACAAACTGAAAGGTGACAAAGGTACGTCAGTTATCACACAAATGTACTTTGCTCATCGTATCTGAAGTTGAAGTCACCTTTCTTAGTACTAAAATATCACCTGGGGCCTGGGCTTTTTATAACAGCGCTGTTCTAAGTGGGCACCAACTACGGTAATTCATTTAATGCCATAAGCAATCCAAAAAGCCAAAGTGCAATTTTTTTTTTTTTTTGCAAAAATATGACTAGAATCTAAATATTTTAGCAAACTTTTAAAGCAAAGGCATTTTCCCATAAGCCATTCTAGGAGACGGGTACAGCCTGCTGGTTGAATAGTTGCCTTACTCGATTTTGCATTGGTGTTATTTTTGTGTGCTAGAAGGAAAATCTAGGTCTGCCTGAATAACCTGAAACCAAAATATAAGAGACTTCAGCCTAAGTCCAGATGCTTCTCAGTGTCATGGGTTTTGTTCACGTTTTATAAACCTTGTCTTTCTCTCCTCCCAATTCTAGTTGTTCGCTTCCAAAATTCCATAGCGCAGTGTTGTTTGATACAGCCATTTAAATATGTACAAATTGTAAAGAATGTGTATAAATGTTTTACACCAAATGTAAGAACTGCTTGCATGCAGAAGCAGCTTATATAATAAATTGTTACAATGTGTACAGTACATTCTGAAATCACTTTTTCAAGCCAGCATTTTTTTAGCATTTGTATATTCACTTTTGGTAATGAAATCTCTTTGTAATGAATTCTTCATTTGGGAGGGGGAAGGGGGGGTTCTTTTTACCAATCTTTGAATAGCTCCATATGCACTAAAGTTGAAAGTTCTTTACTTTGAATAGATTGTTTTGGAATCTACATGTAAGCTGTGCATTCCCGGTGCAGGGAAGCTGTGACAGTAGCGACTGTGTCAGAGATGCAACATTTTGGCAAAAAAGGAAAACTGTTTAAGGACTTCAAGTAAAATGAAGTACAACTGATAATAAATATTTATCTATACCCACAAGACTATTTTTTTTTTCTTTGAAATGATCACATTGCTTTTCACAGGGTGATGCACTGTGAGTCAAATCCTCCTTACGGCTTTTCATTGGCTTTCACACAGTGGCCAGCAGAAGAATGAGGAAGGATCCATGTGCCTTCCATAAAGCAGGCATCCGAACATAATAATAGTGCTCGTTGACTGCAGAACAGCCAAGGCTAAGCGTATGTTGTGAGATTTCATTATTCAGGTCAGTCTGGCTCGTGGTTGATGGAACCCTCCTGACTGCAAATCAGTAGGGGAGCACAGTGCTACTGTGTATTCGTGGCTCTGTGACAGCATGGTGTTGACCCAGAATGGAAATTAGATTGTCTTTGGTGTTGTTTGTTTGTTTTAAATTGGATGTGATTAGTGGCATAGGCTGGGGGATTTGGGAGCAGCAGAAAGCCTTCACTCTGAAGATGCAGCCAGAAAACAAAATAAATTAGAGTAAGATGTGAGCAGTGCCATTCTGCATTTCATTTGTCATAGCTGTGTAGGGTAGCAAAAAGCCTTAAAACTGTTTTCTGACTTATACTTGGCCTTTGCTCTTTGAGTTAGTTTTAATATAGTCCTCTTGTTAAAGTAGTGACATTTTTCATTTAGGGCTGAACAAGAAGGTGTATTATTTATTATTTTCTCCTGGCAGCAGACTTTTGCTTCTCTTAGTTTTCCTCTTACATCTACTGTCTGTAGAGGCCTGCATTTCTTGATTATTGTTTAATAAATTTAGTTTGCCTTAGCAAGTATTTATCAGTTCAAGGTCACTTCTAATTGACATTACCTTCTGTCACAATCAAATCTCAGTAGATGCACATCTAAAATTGTTACTCTTAATTGGTATCGTTGGTGTTCTGAATTCTTTCCCTCCCTCACACTGCCTTGGAAAGAAAAAATCAAATTGATTAACTGTTCTTGTAGGGGGCTCACAAGGCTGAGAACAACAAAGGGAGGTGTCACACTGACAACGCATCTGCAGTTAAGCATGGCATTCAGCGAGGGGAAGGAAGAGCACTGCATGTTACCAAAAGTGAAAAGTGTCCTGGGACTGAAACGGGTGCCTAAGAGTCTTCTTTCTGAGCAGTGTGTTCCTTGACCTAGGAAAGAACAGAGCGATGTGAAAGCAAACACTCAGATCTCCAAAAATGGAATCTGTACATATGTGGTTTCAGTAAATTAACCTGCTCTGAATGGGCATGATTCTGCCTACAGCTGTCTGTGCAGGCATGTTGGTGCTGGGGAAGCAGATGGACAGGTGTTCTTACCATTTGCTGTACCAGAACCCTCCCAGTATCTTGCTGACAGGATCTGAGGGGCAAATGAACTATCACGTGCCACTAATGTATGAGGAGACTGAGAATGCAAGCCAGCTGCTAATTTGGAGGAAGGAATTTGATACTGAAATTCAGCTAAATTCACAACCTCACTTCCCAGCCCCTCCGCAGCCACCTCCTCCTTCTCCTCCTCCCTCGCACCTCCCTGCCACCCCATGCTTTGCTCCACAGCTTCTGACAGTTTGCAGTGGTAACGTTTCTGACACATGTGAAAAGTACCTATTAAATAGCTTGTCATATCATCTACCCACATCCACCTGCAATTACATGATGCCTCAGTGACTAATGAGCTTGGTTACCCGCTGACAATGTGAAAATAGTGAGGCAGCCAAGTGGAGTATACTCAACATGGCCTGCGAAGAGCGTGCACTCACCTTTCTGTACCAAAGGAGGTGGAAAAGGGGCTGAAAATGGGACCTTCAGAATGTGAGGGGCTAGCTTCTTATTTGTAACCTATGTGAAATGTTGGAAGAGTTGTGCAGAAGCAAAATATTTAGCAGGGTTTCAGATCTGTAATTACATCTAGACCACTGGGTTAGTCAGGATACCCAGTGTTGTACACTACAGTCCTTTGTATAGAGTGGTGGCATCTTCTAGGATGAATTATCTAAGGACAATATTCAGGTAAAAGTAATTGGCAGATAATATTGCTGTTACATGCACAACTCAACAGATCACAAATTCTTTGTAACATTTCTAAATCTAGGTAGATGGTTCACTTCTTAATTCTGTAAATGAAAGGTTAAGCAAAATGTATCCATTCCTCCTGCTTCCATCTCTGCTCAATGCTTTTTGGGCGACAGTACCTCCCTGCTCTCCTGTGAGAGCATTGCCTGCCGTGCTTTCTGGACTCACAGGCATCTCTTACACATGATGTAAATTGCACTGTGTTCACTTTGGGAACAGCCCTAAAGTTCTGTCTCCCCTCCTGGGGCAGAGGACATAGCTGTTACTGCTTTCTAACCATTCTGTAGGGCTTTCCTCATGGTTTCCTTATCACATTATTAGCACAACAGTGGCAGGGTCCTGAAATATTTACTGGCAATTTTCAAAGTCCCTTTAAGTGTTTATATGAGAATCTCACCTCCCCTTTTTTATTTTCTTTAGCTGACTAATTTCCAGTGACATTCTGGAAGCTCAGTCCTTCAGAATCCCGGAACAAGGGATAGCAACTGTTTATCCACTGTTCATCTATTTATATTATTTTTAATCAGATTCTTTCCAAGCCGGCCCCAAGATCCTGTCAAATGTGGTGCACACAATACGATGAGTCACCACATCAAACCGTTGCCAGAGGGGAAGCGCCTCAGAAGTGAGGGCCATGCAGGGCTGAAGGGCAGTTTTCTGTCTGTTGCTTGGTTCCTGACTAGCATTTCTAAGCTCAGTAGAGATTTTGTTTAAAAACTCAACAGCTGGAAGAGAAGTTTTGCTGTAGTAGCGCAGCAGATGCTAAATACAAAGCCCACGTCTCCCTGCTGGAGCAAAGCTGTGGTATTCAGCGCTGCCCGGCAAGGTTCCCAACTGCTGTGCTCTGCAGGACTGCACTGCTCAGTGCTCACTGTACTTGCAAAGAGAGATGAGGAAGATCTTCATTTGCCTTCCCTGCTTAAATAGGGCACTGTCCTGGCCTTTACTAGATTGCACCTAGTAAACTGACAGCAATAATGTCTTTATCCAAGGCCAGCCTTTGGGAAGGAGTAGGAATACAAGTTTCTTTCCCAGTATAACCATTTTTGCCCTTACTTGGCAATAGATGAGAAACTAGTTAGAAGTAACACTGGCCTAGCTGCTGCCTATAAGCACTTGGTTGTGCAGGACTCTGGTCTGTTTCTCGCTGCTGTGAAGCCAGAGAGCAATATTCATCCTGGGCCCACTTCTGCAGCAGGGAGGACAAGATGGACACAAGTGCCTCTGCCCGCTTCCCCTGCCACCTGAGCTGGAGGACGAAGATGCTCAAGAGCACATGGGTTCTGCTCCAGCCAGGTCAGCCTTCCGAGTGGCAGCTGCTGGGCTGGCACTGAGCCTGGGGTACACTCTTGTCAATGAGGCACACAAAACTCAAAGAGCATCACTGCTTTTATCTAGGCTACAAACTCTGCATTAGCCTTTCCATGTGGAACAGATCTTGCATCAGTTCTGGCCCTTCCACGAAGCTTGCAATAAATCTCCAGGACCAAACAAAGTTTATTTCAAATTTCTGGAAGGAGTAAAGAGAGAATTCAGCTGAACCCCTACCAAAATATGCAGAAAATATCAAGATAGCCACTCCATAAGGAAAGCACATGAAAGCAGTCATTGCACCATCTCTAAAAGCCACAGAAGGCATTTGCAGGGATGGCTGAGATGGAATTACGCACAAGGACTGCTACTTGACAGAACCGGACAAGAAGCAGCAGGGAACAGAGCAGGAGAAGGGAGGGCTGGTGATCAGTAAGGGTGATGGTAGCGTAAGGAGTGGGAAGTAAAAGCAGGATAATGGGCTTAAAATGAGTCTAGCTGCAGCTCCTGCAGCATTCAGTCAGCAGAGCTGATCAGCCCTAGAGGAGCCCCCTGACTACTGTGATGTGTGCCACGAGCACTCCTCAGCCCAGCAGGGATTAACGAGGGCTGCAGACAGTGTAACCCAAGACTCCCGCACTGGGGTGGGGACGGATCATTCCTGGCCAACCTCAGCCTCTCCTCATGGTTTTTGTGTGAACAGCAGACGTGGCACAGGTCAGGAGAACAGGCAATGCCTTTTATAAATGTGATGTGAATCCTTGTTTCGTTGAAGCAGAATGGCACACCTAAGTAAACATGTCACATTGTCAAAAAACAAATAGAGGCAAGACAGCCAAATGAAAGCCAATCAAAGTTCAGTTGTAACAAAGTCCAGGGATTTAATTGCTACATTAGGAATAACACAGCATACCAAAATGGTTGTTCAAATAATTCTAAACCATGGTATTTCCTCAGTCCCTCTCTTCCTGGCCCGCTCCCCTCACTCAAGCTGTGCGCATTCAGCCAGCTGCCCCTCCACAGCCACACCAACAGAGATACGCCTCTCTCCAGACCTCTTTCCCTTTCAAGGAAAGCAAGTTATGCACTTTGCACTCACCACAGAGATGCAGATAAATTACAGCACTGTGAAATAACTCCTTATGCAGTTTGCTCTATTGTACTATTTTAGTTTTTATTTGTTCCACACAGGCAACACTTCTCCAGTTCCTGGCTGGTGTTGTACTGAACTGCACTAAGTGCTCTGCCTTGAACTGATCGATGTTCACTGTCACTTCAGTTGCCCAGTCCAAGACAGATCATTACAAAGCTGCTGAAGAGGATCACTTGACATTTATTGCCCAGTACCGCTTTTTAAAGCTTTAAAAACTGTATAAATACTTAAGCCTTTCAGACAGATGAGTACGATCTCTTTCCTTCACATAAGCCTGTTACTATGCTCCTCTTTCTCCCTCTGCTTTCTTGTCTGAAACCCCTCCCAGATCTGAAAATGAATGGCTAGGGCTTTCTAAATCACGAGGAGGCATAAATACTGCAAAGCATCTCTTAGTAACATGAAATAAGAGAAACAAGATTTACTTGAACTTAAAATCACCACATACATTGTATTGGAGAAAACTAAAATGAAAAACAACAACAACAACAACAAAACAT